ATTATAGGAATACTTTCTTCTTAAGTATTTATTTATCTCTTTATTATAGTTTTAAATTAATTAGCTTAATTATTAATCCCTTTAAACCTTAATTAACTAGCTTAAGGTTTAGTTAATTTAATTCTTCTTAATTAATGTGTTTAAATGTTAACCTCTTTAATTGCCTCTTAGGTCACGTGGCTAGTCACGTGCCCTTGCCTTCTTCTTATGCCCATGGGTTATGCCTGTCCTAGCCGGTGCGGTCCCGTCCCGTGTCTTGTGCAGTGTCGTTCGTAACAGGTATTTTATTAATCTCACGTATAAGTTATAGGTAAAAATTTTAATTTAAAATTAATACTTATTAAAAGAATATCTTTAAAGGCTTAAATATATTAATTTACCCTTAACTTTTACTTAAAAGATATTATTAAGCGAGAATTTCCCACGCTTAAAATATTACTTCTTTTAGTTATATTAAAAGACGTTTACTAGTATTAGTAATTACTCGTATTAATACTCCCTTTACGTATAATTTACTTAAGTTTAAAGTTAATATTAATTATTAGAATATTAATAGGCTTATTATACTTTTTATTTAAGATAAATAATAAGTTACTTACCTATTAATTTAAATTCTTAAAGTTATATTAAGTCTTTATATAAGACAGGCCTCCAGGATGAATGGTATAGCGTCCTTCTCCACGGCCCTGGTGTTTTCGTCACCAAAAGCCTCTACCGCGATCCTCGGTAAAAGCTTTAAAGCTACTAGGCTTATAACCTATTATAACTATATATATTATCCTATTATATAAGATATAAAGTATAAGTTACACTAGTATATATTATAGGCGGTACAAGCCCTAATATACACCCTACCTACCAATCTAGCTGAAGTGACTGTAATTAGTTGTGGAAATCGAACATCTCTGGACGGTTTAAAGATTTAACTGTGGGCTCATTCGGTGAGCATTACTTGGCAGGGGAACCGCAACGACGTCACTCTGGGTCTTGAGGATTTTCCGATGCAGCCCCTCCCATTCGTCTATCGTGAAAACCGGTGACGAGCTCCGAGACAAGCCAGGGAGGAAGGACATGAGGACATGTGCGGGAAGAGGTCAAGGGCCGGCCAGTCCTGTCGTGTCACTGAGACGTTGAAACTTGACAATGTCGCTCATGCAAAGAGTCTGGAGGAATAATGAAACCTCAGCACCGAGCGCCATGCCCCAAGACGAGGGAGTATAAAAGCGCCTAGGGCCGTATTTTTCGGAGTTCAGAGTAACTCCGTAGCGATTGTTAAATCGCGGACAGAGCCGAGGCAAGCTCACCGACCGGCACGTTCAATGGACGCAACGCTTGAACCTGGGCCGCAGAGTTTGAAAAATCGCTCTTCATTTGGACCTTGCTTCTTGGAAGGCCGGGAAGAGGTGGATTATGGGGCGACTGAGGAAACTGGTACTCGTTTCCGTCTCTAGCGATGAAAATCTGTGCAAAACAGATACTTGGAGGCGGCTAGGCGGAGGAAGTCTTTGTCAAGGCATGCTAACTATTAGAGTCTCACCAAGGTCGCATGCGGGCGGAGCCCAAAATTCGAACAATCACATGCAAGCTACTCCGTACACGAACCCTGACAGGTGCCACCCTCTTGTGGCTTGCATCGCTCCGATTAGAGTGCCACGTTGAACAGGGATGCTCAAAACTTCTGGAATTTGGCCCTGTTGGCAATACAACGTTTGTTTGTTGGCCAAACTGATTGGTGTGCAGCTTGCATGGTAATCTTGGGCAACCTGCTGAGGGAGACAGCCCGAGACAATGTTGCTCGCTAATACTTCGTAACTTGGCTGGCAACTGGCTTGAGACCCTGAAGATCTTGGGTAGCATTTCTTCCCGCATGCCTGGATGACGAGTAGTAGCTGCCGAGTATGTATGGAGATGGGAAACAACCTCAACCTGGCCAGACCAACTAAAAGTAACTGGGCAACAAGACGAGCTCAGTTTGTGGAAATTTCAATTTAAACCATGCTTCTGTTGTCTGTATTGCTGATTTGACCGACAGTGGTCGTCGCCTACAGGCATTTCCCAGCCCGTCAACTTTGAACTGACTCGCTCTGCCAAGGGAAACCACGCAAACACGAAAGCCAACATGCCTCCCCATGCCGGCCAATTTTACCTCGCCTTGTTGGGCATTGATTGACGGCTGTACGTCTGCGCGCTTTTGACTCGGTATGCTGAATTGATGTAGCGCTCTTGCCAAGGTTGTGCGCCGTCTACTGTACTCAGCCTCGGCCTCCGTTGTAGTCGGCACCGCCAGCCTTGCGCAGTCTCGCTACCACATCCTTCTCCTCCAGCTCAGAGCGGTCACTGGCGGTAATGGCGATGCTGTGATGGGACAGGATGCGCTTCACGTCGCCGCTCTCGACGCTGACCCGTGCCTTGCGCATCACTTTGGTGTTTTCGCCAATCCAGACAATCAGGACAAACTTGACACGGGTGCTCTCGGCGTCGTTGGCGTACTCAACACGTGCATAACCATACTGGACCTGGGCATCGTCCAGAGAAGCGGCCAGTTCGGCAATGCCTCCCGTGCCTGTCCTACTCAGTGACAGTTTGTTCCCAGTTGCTGCCGCATATGAGATGAGCATCCAGTTGACTTCATCTTTGTCACTGCGAACGGCATCATATGCGGCAGCGATGTCGGGGTGGTCCAAGCCACTCATTGTGCGGGATGGGGGACTTTCGACGGCAATGAAATCTGTGGAGGTGGCAACAAGCGTCAAGGCCCTGTTTGTGCCACACAGGGATTTAAATCTAGGCAGGTGGTGTCCGCAGAGTGAGCGGCTCAAAATTGGCCGAGAGAAGAGCTCGGTGGTTTGTTTGCACTGTTTGTGCAACCGTGACCGATCAAAAGAGACTTGCGAGGTTTTCAGTTACCCAGGTTGGGCAAAGGGGGGAAAAGCCAAGGGGTTTTGCCGCCCCACTCGCAAACAAGAGCATTGTCCAGAGTCTTGAGCACAAAGCCTGTTTCAAGCCTAACCCACCATCTTCATCGACGAGGGGCTCTGTGACCTCACTGGACCGCTCTATCTGAGCCATACCGGACGATACTCGGTACATGGGTCGAATACCGACGGGAAAGTAAACAACTACCTTCATCATGTTCGAAGAGTCTTGCCGAGAATCAGCTTGGCTGTTTTGAGTTGTACTGGCGCATTTGGTCGATTCCCCCGCCAGCAACCAAAATGAGCTTGCCTGTGAGAAAATACGCATAATTTGGATGCCCTATCCTGCTTGTCCGGCGTCAAAACTGACGTTGCTTCTCCTGGGGCATTGGATCGAAACTACGTCCCAATTTACGGATCATGTTTCATGGTCTTGCCGTCTTGACAAGTAGGATATAGGTCTGCCGCGGATACAAGCATGCACATTGCAACCCGCCATGAACCTTCGTCGACATGGCGCCGCCCAGGCTGAAGAAACCGAAGCAAACGCCGGTGTGGCCGTGGCTCGGCTTTGTGTCGGGGTTGGCCGCGGCTCTATGGGCTGGCGTAGATCAACTCATACACTAGCCGCATATACCGGGTTGTCAGGACACGGCTACTTGGGTTGACGATGAAGAAGAACCTCGTCGTTGTAGGTTCTACTTCCAGGTTTGATTCAATCTTCGGAGCACACGGCTTTGTCATTAGTTTGTGGTTGCAAAGTGGGGAGATGGAGGAAACAATACACGACTAACAGAAATACGAATGTTTGTGACTTTTCACCACAATCAACGGTCATGATATGCGCCGTCAACCATCTTCAACAAGCCTCTGCCTTACGGTCCCCGACTTTTGTCCGTTTGATCTGCATTGGCCTAATCTCTGGCTGTAGGATATCGAGGGGAGCAGCCTTTGTCTGAAGATGCGTTATCGGGTAAGTGCCATCTCGGTTGAGTTGTGGCTCGACACAGTGCGAAACACTAGCTATATCCGCCCTGAATTGAGTTTCCCAAGTTCTAGTAACAGAAGAACTGGACTAGTAGAAACCTAGAAGAATTGGAAACGAGCAGTCAGAGTCCGGCGTGGTGTTTCGCTTGAATGCTACTTTTGTCATGATCTAACGCAGGTTTCCATGCGATATAATGCCTACTATTACTTACTAGTACTTCCTGTGGGATGAAATGTATAGCGGTCAAGCCACAGATGTGGGTGGTTCACGTACGTCCACCAATTTCCTCGCCAGAACGCAACACAGCGGCCTCTCGAAGACCTGTAAGATATACAACGCCTTCAAAAGTCACCATGTTTCCGGGTCCAAGTCCGCGGAAACTGCGGGCATCTTTCAATCGGCTTCGAAGATGCTCTTGCCGCCGAAAACTTCTGTTTCGTCTTCTTTGGCCATCTCCGTGGCACTTCCAAGTGCCTGTGCAGCTCTCTCTGACGGAGCTCCAGAACACCGGAGATCAAATGTCTTCATCTCGACAGCCGGACATTCTCCAACTCTATTATATACCTCTATTTCGAGTACGAGACACGCCTCTCCGCTCCCTATATCGACTCTACGTGGACCTCTGCTCTAAGAACATTATCATGATGAGCTACGAATGCGACTACTACTTCTATCATGCTGAGGCACGTTGGCAGCTATCTCGTATCCCTGATCCTATGGACCCGGACCCTACGAGGTACGCATTACTGGCTAGCTTCGCCGAAGCCCTCGTCTCTGCTTTCAATTGGAGGCTGGAGCTTGGATTGCAACGTGATGGCACCCAGATCGAGGGCCAGGATCCAATGAAGGTTCCGCTCGAAACAGCACCTCAATGGGCAAGCAAAGTGCGTCCTTTAGCAGAGAAGCTGGACTTGCGGCCCCATGATGAGAATAGTTCTGATCCAATATTTCTGAAGAGAAATATTCTGGCATCGACGGGCTATTTATTCTGTGTGTGATGGACGCGTGTGTAATGCTATATGTCCCAATCGGAAAGCATTTCCGCTGAAGGCTTAGCATAGGACTAGTTTTTGTAATGTCTTCCTAGCTAATTAGTTTCCAAGGAGTAGAGATACCAGCATACCCAAACCGAGCAACAAAAGCCTCGGCGACTTGTTTGATCGCTGCATCATCTGAAGGGGTGTAAACGATCGTATTCCAAGACTTCACAAGTTCATAAGAGAGAGGGCCGCCACTCTCCTGTACCATCTGAGCCAAGATCTCCACAGCGTCACTCACGTCAATATGCCGACGCTCAGATCCAATCCTCTTTGACTTTCGGGCTAGCGACCACTCCCATTTCGCCGCGTAAATAATCAAGTTCGTTCCTTGCCAAAGAACAACACCCTGAGAAATAGAACCATAAAAGAGATGTCGCTTAGTCTCTCCTACCGCAAATACTTCCATGCGAGAGTTAATCCATTCTTGGCACCTGCAGTCAACGCCAGTTCGGTACAAGCCCGAGGTCCTAGGCAAATGTGTTTTGGTACTCCGTACATTATCCATGTTTATTGAGCTAGTTCGGATGCCATGCGCTAGGACGCCATAGAATTAATACGCCCATACCACTATGATTAGTGATGTTATTAGATTGAGGCAATTCAGATTGGCGCTGGAGTAGACAGAAAAATAGTTATAATGGATTCAATTCCTCGAAAGATTTCGCCTAACCCCTGGAGCTCCAATTGTCTTGCCCGATAAGGCAGGAGCTGAGCCTCCTTTGCTCGTCCGGCAGGGGCCTCCCACCACTGACCACGCCTGTGTTGAGGGAAAGCCGGCAGGAAAGGGGTTCACGGTAGTTATTTCCTAATCAGGCGTGACGTGGCCGTATCACCGACCTACCGTGATGGGTAACTTGACCATGACAGCACATCACCTTTCTGCGATCCTTTTTAGCCATCTACGAAGATGATCGTTGCAAACGGTTTTACCTCTAGTGTATATAATCACGACCGAGCTTCTCAACAGGGGAATCGTGTGGCTTCTACATTTGATGACCGTCTTACAAATATCATGCAAAAGCTGTAGTTTAGAGTCTTTCGATTCTTCCCTCCCCCTTGTCGACAAGCTCTTCTAATACTCTTTAATCAACGTGGCCCTTGGTGATTCTGCACATAGCGCATGATACCCCTGGCATAGAGACATTGCTTGAATTCTGCGTCTTGGACCGACGCAGCCCGGGGCCCAGGGCACGTGCGAGTGTCTCACGATCCTCTCAAGTCTGTAATAAGATGAAGTGAAAGCCGCGTACTCCAGGCTGCTCACCAGGAGTGCGTGTTGACTCGTATGATATTTTCACACCGGGGAACAGAGCAGCGTAATTGATGCTCGACATCGAGGCTACTGACGCTGCGGCTTGGCTCGTGCGATATTCTCTGCCAGCTTCCCACAACGAAGCAGTGTATTTCATGCTCAATATGCCTGGGCCAATAACGTCTACCAAACTAGGACGAAAGGGAGGATACTGGGCGTCGCCGATATTACAGTTCAAGTTGCAGGTTAAGCGGAAGCACGGTCAAAATTGTGCTCCATCGGTTTATCGCTTCCAGTCTTTCATAGACGTTGCCTCCAAGTCTTCAACGTCAACATCACAAAGGGCGTGAATAAACTTGTTTGACATGTTTTCTTCTATTTGAAGCCACATGCTCCTGTCTGCCGGACAAGTCAGAATCGAAAAAACGGTCAATAGAGATTGATGAGACCTTGAACCTTGACCCTTGTGCATTGTCAACACACGAATGCGCTGGTAATTCGAAGCGGTGGTACTCACACACTCTCTCTCGGCCGCTGACAACACCACACAAAAAAGGCCAAGTTTGTTCCCATATTACGCAGTTTCAAACGCTCAGGATATATACCCTTGAGATGAATTCCAACATTTCTGGCTTTTTGAACCGCATATACCAATTTTTGACAGCGCCCTACATCTTATTGCGACAGCAAATCAGAGCACGGACACCATGGCCAACCTGGGGCTGTCACACACATGTTACACGAGGCTCGCCGACTTTTTGCACAGAGGTCTTTGGTCTTTTTAGGCCTCGAAGGAAAGCCAAGGACTTTTAATAACTAAAGACTGTTCACAGATAAATTGAGGTATTACTCCAAGCCCTCCACTGAGCCGCTGCCACAGGAGCCGCGGTTAATATGCCATGCATGGACTTGGAGTGACGACATGTCCCTTGTAGAGATGCAAAGAATTGAGACGAGTGAGATTAGGGCTTTCATCTCTCTTAGAAGACGGCGAGTTATTGAATTCACGGAAAAAAGTCTGCCATTATTCGGCATCACCGAAAAGCTTCACGCCACAGGCGCGAGTTACCACCCAGTCGGAGCAGGACTAGCACGTGATGACGACAGCGACGCATGCAAGGAGGAAAATCTCTATACGACACACAGTTCTGCCACTGTATTGAAAGGGGCTCAAGTAGCTAGCTGGAGATTCTATCGAGTACTAATTCACCACTTGATGCCATCTCTCGGGTCGTAACGAAAGCTTAAATCAACTCCATGGTGAAGTTACTCATAATACCAACCATTTCTATATTTTGCACTTGTCAAGTATGTCATGTACTATTTGCTTGCAGTGCTAAAATTCTAGAGGTGCGTCGTTGTTTAATATACTAGAGTAATAGGAGTGCGAAGCAGATATGTATATTAGGTTAATATCGGAAGCATGCAGTGAATCAATACGGGGCATATGACTCTGTAATACTATTCAACTACATCATTCTTATTCAACCAACTGGCATAACGCTTAATCATACCTCGATTATAACCTGCGGATGGTAGGTAGTACATCACGTGCATGCAACGACGACTGTAACAGTGTGCAAACACAGTGCCACAGGCCCCGCAAAGTGGCTGCACGTGGGGCCCTACATCACCCCTGAACGATTGCCAAGACCCGTACCACTGAGCAGCTGTGTTTTACCGTTTCACGTCTTAACAATAGTGTTATTTATAACCAAGGACTGTAGTTTATCTATAACTTTGCCTGTTTTCATCTACCCATAGGTAACTGACCACATGTTTAATTCACATTTCACTTTTTATTGGCCTTCCCGTAATAGGTACACGTAACCTTTTGACAATGATTCAGGGTCCATTGTAGACCCACCGTTCTAGACCAAAAATAGTAAGAGAGATGGCCAGCTCGGATCAACTACGACGTCGAGTCAGCTGGGCATAAGCTCGAGCAGTCTGGTGATCAGATCATCTGTCTCGATTCGCGCCGGCAGTGCAAGCGCAGTCTACAGAATGTACTCGGTTCCGAACAGAAAACCTAATATAAGCAGGCTCTCCAAACTCGAAAAAAGGGGAAAACCATACGCCACCACGTTATGCATCAAGCCACCCCCTAGATGGGACACACAACCACCACGGATTCTCAGCACATACGCCAACTTGGTGCGAGTTCGGCATCATGAAGCCTCATCTCGCGGCCCTCGCGCCGCTTGTTCCGCAGACCCTGGCCAGCTACGCCTTCTACGTTGGCAAGAACCTCACGCGGGACGGGAGCGTTCTCGTCGGGGGCACGGGCGAGGAGGTATCGAGCCACTGGCTGCAGCTGTTCCCGGCGGCGGACCACGCCTCGAATGAAACCGTCGCGGTTGGCGTCACCGGCAGGGCAAACATCCCGGGGGAGCTGATTCGCATCCCCCAGGCGAACCACACCTTCCGGTACCTCAGCATGGAGTATTCCGACTACATGGGCTTCCCGGCGCCCCTGACCAACGGCGGCCTGAATGAGAAGGGAGTCGCGGTCAGGGACGTGTGGGCTCCCAGCCGCGACGAGTTGATTCGCATGACGCCCACTCCGCAGCGCGGCGTGCAGTACAGCGACATGGCGAGACTGGTCATGGAGCGCGCGAGCACTGCCCGGGCCGGGGTCGAACTGATTCGAGACCTCATCAGGGACCACGGCGAGGCCACCTACGGCGGAAACACGCACCTCATTGCCGACAAGGACGAGGGGTGGGTGGTTTGGGAACTCGCCGGCGGCAAGGGGCTCTGGGCGGCAGAGAGACTGGGCGCCTCGCAGGTTCGCGCCCTGTACCCCGGCTACATTGGCGACTTTCCGGTAGACTTCGCCAGCAGCACCGACTTCATGGGCTCGGACAACATCGTCAGCTTTGCCGTCGAGCAGGGGTGGTGGAGTCCGCACTCGGGCGAGCCCTTCAACATCTTCAAGGTGTACGGCCCCCAGGGCCCCGGGTACACAGAGCGCGACGGGGGCTTCAAGTACATGTCGCAGGCGGCCCTGGAAAACGCCACGCTGGCAATGGCGCCCGTGTCCGAGGCGGACCTCATGGCGAGGGTGCGCGATCACCGCATCGCAGACGACGAAGCCGGCTACGGCCAAGTCGTCTCTCTGCGCGAGGGCGTCGACCCGGACATGCTGAGGCTCTGGATCGCGCCCACGGGCTCCGTCGCATCGCCCTTCATCCCCTGGTGGCTCGGGGGCCAGTCTGTCCCCCCCGAGTTCGGCCAGCACCGCTACCTCACGACCGGCGCGTCGAGCAGCTTCCTCGCGCCCGATTTCCAGCTCCAAGAGGCCTCTCAGTTTGCGGGGCGCATATTCAAGCGTGTCCTGTACTACATGTGTAGTGCGCCGACGCTATTCTTCCCCATTGTGACGGATGCACTGACTGCCTTTGAGAGCGAATCCGCCAGGGACCTCGAGTGGGTCGAGAGAAGCGCAGAGACGCTCATCGCGAGTGGTGAGAGGGACTCGGCAAGGCGCTTGATGACGTATTATTCGCATTCGAGGGCTGCCAAGGCTCTCGAGATGGGCAACACCATGAATAATGCGCTGGATGGGTATATAAAGTTGCGGGGGTTGTGGAGAGATCCCGTGGGCACCGAGATTAACGACGCTGGCGAGGGGGCCGAGACGGTCAATTGCCTGGTTGGGTTCAATCCTGATCGGCCGGCCAGTCAGCAGGGAGCCCCCCGGAGAGGTAAACTTGTTGTCCAGGATCTGTCTTGATGTGTCCTGCGGCGGCTCACATGTACATAAACCACGATTCGGATGCCGTTCTGGTGATAAAAGACGGCAGTGTAAATAGATGCAAATATAGCTTGGTACTCGTATCATATGTTACAAAATTATGTCTGTGATTCAGCAAAAGCGACGACAGCAAAGACAGATGTAAAAAAAGCAGACCAAACTCCAGTATTTGTTATGTGATGCTTACCTGTTGGCCGTATACCTTGCTTCAGCGCAATATATTGCAGCCAGCGAATAGTTCCGTTCACTCCGCATCTTTCACCAACGACCAGCATTTACGCATCCCCGTGCCCATAGACTCCCCTTCCACATTATCACTCCACCTCGCCCGATCTCCTATTCCACACTCCGTACCATTCTCTCCAAGTCGGAACAAGTGCACATGCATAGTCAGCTTCAGATGCGAGAACAACCACGGCACACTCCCCAATTCTCCCATATGCTTAGGAGATTCACTGCCCAGTAACGTCTTCATGTGCGCTTTGGCCAATGT